GGTGTTACGGAATGGCAGCCCGTGGGCATCTGACCTCCTCTAACTTCACAAGGGGGAAGGAGAATCAATATCAACGGCCCAAGGCTGATTCCTATGAGGCAGACATGCCTCCTCTCTCCGCCACCCTTACCAATTCTAACACCAGCCGTCCCTCCCATGGCACTCTCTACTTCTCTGCTGGGTTCAATACTTCGTTGCAGTGGCCACACAAAACTCACAGACCATACTCACAGTTATGAGGTTTATTAGGGAAGTAACAGGTTACAATTCAGGATCAAGAAAGACTCAGGATACAGTTCTTCAGTCAGGACAGCCTCTTCTCAGCTGTGCCCGCAGGCACACCTCTCTCTGGACCTCAGCCTCTCAGCCCATCGGCCCCTTGGCCCAGCCTCTGCCCTGCTCAGGCAAGTGTTACAGAGCTCTTTAGCTGCGCCAGTAAGTGCCTAGGGGCATCCTACTCCGTCAGCAAGCCTGGGCCCAAAGGCACTCAGCTCTCTCGCTCCATGGGTCGGCAAGCCTAGTTCCGCCAGCAAGTACCCCAAGGCATCCCACTTGGCTAGGAAGTCTCCTGCCCGAAGACACTCAGTTCTCTCACTCTGTGGGTCTGCACATCCACTTAACCGCCTTGCTCTGTGGGCCAGGAAGCCCACTGCACCGTCTCATGCCAGTCTCCAGGTTCTGCTGCTGCCGCTTCTCACCACCTTGCACCATCTCCAGTGTTACAGTCTCTCTCTGTCTCTTGTCTCCTGGGTCCAGGAGGTTCTCGGCACAGCGTCCCCAGGTCCAAAGGACACAATCCACTCTCGTCTCTTCTTCTTGGTGGTAGTGAGGTTCCACCTGTCCACCTTTGGAATGGCTAAGTTTAAGCCTAGAGGGATGGCAAAAATAACCACTCCCCTCCTTAGAGTTCCATCTGCCTTATTTGCATGGTCCCACCCCCACAAAAGTGCCAAGCACCTTACACTGCATCATGTTGCTGTTTTCAGGTATCATCCAGTTGGTTCCATCTCATAGCGACCC